AGACCGGTACAGCTTCCTCCCCAGCAAGGAGACCAGTACAGATTCCTCTCCAGCAGGTACAGCTTCCTCTCCAGCAGGGAAACCAGTACAGCTTCCTCCCCAGCAAGGAGACCGGTACAGCTTCCTCCCCTAGCAGGGAGACCAGTACAGCTTCCTCTCCTAGCAAGGAGAACAGTACAGCTTCCTCTCCTAGCAAGAACAGTGAGCTGCACAGCACTGACATCGCAAAATCTCACTCCGCAGCTGGTTAGACCAGGCAACAGTACTCTGGATGGTATTACACTGCAGATATACAGCTATAAAGCTATATGCTTTGGAATTGTGTTGCGAGTCAAGAAAAGAAAAGAAAGAAATATAAAATTACCTGTACACGGTTTGCTTGAGTTCACTAATGACCTGTGTCAGCTGAGAGTGTGTCCGGGAAGCGTAGATAATCTTGGGGATATCACTGTAATATGCTGGAATTAAATAAAAAAATCCATATTACTTTGATTATTTATGTACACATATACACATATATATTGCGAGCCCGGCCTTCTCCTCCAACATCAGTACCTGACCTCACAAATGGTCCAACATTCCCATAGACACACTCCTAAACCTTGTGGACGCCTTCCCAGAAGAGCTGAAGCTGTTATAGCGGCAAAGGGCGGAGCCAACCCAATACTGAACCCTACGGACTAAGACTGGGATGCCATTAAAAAGTTCATGTGCGTGTAAAGGCGTCCCAATACTTTTGGCAATATAGTGTATATATCTCTCTCTTATCTCTTTTGGATAGCAGGGGAAAAGTTACAACAGATTTGCCCTCACTTCCTGCCCCTTTGATGCCCCTACAATAAATGGGGGGGTGAGGTTGTCACCGGGGCAGGAACGCACGGGCAGCACGTTGTCAGAAGATCTAACCCTTTACTACCCATAGTACATGTTCTCCGGTTTCAGTATTTGAGGGATTTTCCATCTTTGATTCTCCCCAATAATAGCATCAGAGATGTGTAGAAATACCGGACCAGCCCGTCCCCCCCTTCACTCTCACAGGGGGACCTGCAGACGGCCAGACATAGGAGACTAGTATGTATGGCTACCCATAGTAAAGCCGGACAGAGATGGTACCTGAGCCCTGTGCGTTTGCCTCTCCGCTCCCCCAGTCTGACGCTGGGCGGTCCGGGAACAGCTCGCCCCCATTCATCCGCTCTTTGATCTTCTGCATAGTGATATTGTCCTTGAAATGCTGACGCCATGCCAACGTGGCACATAGCAGGCACAGCGTCTTTCCTGTGCCCGTTGGACTTTCCAGGACGCCATTAACACCCTGCAGAGGGGGAAACAAAATATAAACACATTGCTCCGGTGTGTGTACAAGTAAGACATCACACGCGACATTAACTTTTGATTTATAAATCCAGAGCCAGCCGTATACATGAGAGGCTCCACCCCCTTATATTCTATACACAGTAAAGTCCCCTCCCCCCCTAAGTACTGGCTCTCCCTCCCCTATACATATTACAGGCTCCTCCCTCTCTATACCAGGGGTAGCCGGCCTTTCAGCTGTGCTGCAAATCCCATGTGGCACTGCAAGGCTCTGACAGCCACAGGCATGACGGGATTTGTAGTTTGACCACAGCTGTAGGGCCGAAGTTTGGCTACCCCTGTTCTATACAAAGAACAGGCTCCTCATCTAACATTACAGACTCCTCCCCCTCTAAAAACAGTACAGGCTCCTCCTCTAACATTACAAACTCCTCCCCTCTGACATTATTCACAGTACAGGTTCCTCCCCCTCCATTTACATTGCAGGCCCCTCCTCCTTTGACATCTTATACACAGAATAAGCTCCTCCTCCCTATACAGAAGGCAGAGACCATTTCACTGTATCTCCTCCCCTGCCATTTCAGTCATTGACAAGTTCCTTCTCCTACACTAGACTCCTCCCCTTCAATGGCACCAATAATACAGGTCATTCGCCTCACTTTAAGCCCCGCCCCTAAACGCGGAGCCGCTCCTCTATACACCAAAGGCCCCACCCCTGAATTATCTTCACTGGTCAGGCTCCAGCGGGAGGACAGAAATGGCGGCGCACCTGCTGCAGGCACTCGATGACTTTGCTCATATAATCCTCCTGGCACTTGTACGGGGTGAACGGGAAGTCCACGGGGATCCCGGCCACCTGAATCTGAGGCATGTCCGCTCCTGTCACCGGGACCGCCTCTCTCACAGCCTCAGCTTCACACTTCCCGCCCGTACGTCGTGACGTCACGTGGACACAGCACGCCCTACCCACTTAGGTGACGTCACGGGCGCGTTCACCAATGGTTCGCTGATGGAGCTGAGACTGCGTAGATCTGAGGGAACAGTGACACAGTAACAGTCAGGACCGCGGACACCGGGATGCTGAGGGGGTGTGTCCGCCCGGTGTTCTCAAACAGCTGCGCCTGCTATTGAGGCAAGGGGGATCCAAAAATAGGCGGTAAAGTAAGCGCTAGGAGGACCAAACTAGGCGCTGGGGGGCCAAACTGGGCGTTAAAATAGGCGCTAGCGGGCCCAAACCGGGCGCTAAAGGGGGCCCAAATCGGGCGTTTAAAGTAGGCGCTAGAGGGGCAAACCGGGCGCTAAAGTAGGCGCTGGGGGGGGGCAAACAGGGGGCCACAGTAGGCG